ATGGTCATTTTTTCCAATCAGTATCTTGAGAATGACTCTTCTGACGACTTGAAAACTTTCATGGCTGATGCATCGCAAGGTCAGGATGAGTCCCAGTTTAATTGAGCCTTTATTCATGCAACTTTGCCAGTTCCTCCCATAATTAATAACTTGGAATTGCTGGTTCCGAAATTAGCTAATCACTTACAATTCTTCCAGAGAGGACTATGCTCAAATGAAAGTTCACATAATTTTGCCGTGTAAGTTTTAATTTCCCTAATTATTAATTAATTAGCTTCTTGGCATATAGGAAGAATGCTTTATTCTGTTCCGGTTTAAACCATTAAACGTTGGTTTATCGTTGAAAAACTTTTTAATTGATCTTGAAATGTAGCGCCAATTTGCTAATGTTAATGATGATATTTGGAAAATTTTTAAATATTGCTTCAAGCAATAATTTGTTTAATGTCTCCTCCGGTCGGCTTCCAACCTTCAACGATGATGTATCAAATGTATTTCGATCGTGTTGGTGAGAATTACATAATTTGACTCCATCCTTCATGTTGATTCTTAGTCTGGTATTTCACGGATGATAAATTTGGTTTCTTAAGAAATAATTAAATCCTAACGGGACTTGTAGAAAGCTTGAAACAGAATCTAAATAAAATCAAAACTGGAAATAATTAAATTTTTTCGTTGTTAATGGCGTGGTAAATTTTTTCGAGTTGTATGTACTCTTATATATCTTATTATCGTACGGCGTTATCCAGAGCCAGTCATATACTCCGCACAGTAATTCTTTACTTCCTCCAGGGTTTTTAAAATCCAGAATGCCCTCGTGCATTAGACCTCGAAACTACTGGCATGTGAAGGACCCTCTGACGATAATAGTCCGATTCCCGGTTTGGTCCGTCCAGTAATTTCAGAAAATCTCTGGTCGCAACTCAACACTGATTAACCTTAGAAGAGATTGGGGATCGTTATGAAATGAGTAAATGCCAATTTGCCAATTTATTTAAAAATGTATGGAATATTTTTTTCTGAGAAATGACTACGCCTTTACTAGTTTGATACATCTGAAAAGGATGGTGCATTTTTTTTTTTTTTAAGTTAGACTAAAAGTGGAATTGTGGGATTCTGTGTAACAGCTGGTTTGGCTCTTGTGCGTTTTATCCTCAAAGGAAACCGTCGCATTGATTTTGAGATGTACAAGTTTTATATTGATAATTATATTTTGAAACTTAGTCTTCTTGCAATAACTGCTGCAATCTCTTCTCATTAGTCCGAGATGTATCTTATTTGTGGGAAGGTTCGGACAGATTTTGGGCTGTGTTGATGGTCCAATTTACCAATTTTAGTGACACTGGGGAAAATTGTAAATACTGTTTTTCGTAATAATTTGTGAATGGTCTCATCCGATCAGCTTTAAACTTTGATTGCACTAATTAGCGTTTTTTTTTTTAAGTGAAGTTCGAACTGGTATTTGAGCTATGTAACTCCGCTTTGCCATTTTGACTGAAGAAAATGACGAAATTTTCATGCATTTGCAATTTCCTTCTGATTCGCACATTTTTATAATTGATATTTAACTGAAAGAGAAATTATGCAAATCACTTTGTTCTGCTCTTTTGCGTCCACTGAGACCCGGGAGAGAGGATGTGCTTGTGGGATAACGAAAGATTCATATTTTGATCACTCTGCGACTGAAACTCATGATGTAAGTGGCTTAGAAAACCGGCAAGATGAAGAATGAGACACTTGTGCAATATCTGGTAATTATAATGAAAACGTTAGCGTCAGGCAGTGGCTTCTTAATCTTCGTTATTCTCTGTATTGGACCGAAGAAACTATTGGCTGGCGAAACGTTTCCACAATAAAGATTCGCAAATACTGCACAAGTGTCTCATTTCGTAACACATCTGGTTTACTGTGTACACTATATCCATCTTGCGGACGGCAGCTAAAGAACATATTCACTCGCAAAAATTTCCTTGGAACTAAACCAAGAGAGCTACTGGAACGACTGCAACTTTTCAAGAAACCACAAAAAAAATGCTTCATTTCTCTTGGATATTTATTTTTTCCCCAGCTTCTAATGGCATCTTATTTTTGTAATCTGTGAAAATGGGAGAAGCAGCATCGCTTGAAGTGCTCAGTGAAAGGAGCATCAAACACGCCACCAGATTTTTCCCAGCGACCCTCGTGGGTTGGAAGCAGCCAGCGCTCGCCACTAGCCAGGGATAAGACTACGAGAGAGTTTGAGGCACAGATTAGCAAACTAGCACTACGAAGGACTGGTGAGAGGACATTACAGAGATGAAACTGTGAAAGGGAGGGAGGACAAAGACTAGCGAGGTAAGATATGGGAAAGGAAGAGATTAGCTAGTCTAGACTGAGAGAGGGGTAGAGTAGCGAGTTTGTAGAGTGCGAGAGGCAAAAAATGACGAGACGACTACGAGACGTGGGAAGATAAGAGAGACTAGAAAGGAATAAAAAAAACTAATTAGAGTAGATTACGAGGGCGCACAAAAACTAGCGAAAGGGTTCGATATTTATGTTTGAAGTTGTTAAAAGAATTTGTGAGAGACGAGAGAGAGAGAGAGAGAGAGCAAATTTAGCGAGACATGATTACGAAAACAAGAGAGAACAGCGAGATGACTACGAGAGGGAAAACAACACGATTTAAAAAAAAAATCATTAGAGGAGAGAACAGCAACCCGCGAGGGATGAGGAACGTAGCGAACGAGATCCCAGAACGTAATTCGAAGTTGAGTAAGAGTTGGCGTGTGCGGGGAAGATTACAAGGGAACGCCACTGAGCGTGAAGACCCCATACCCTAATGAACGTCTTCGATAGACGCCAGTGGTCGAAGAAAAGATGACACGAGACACTCAAAGACTAAGTGACCTATAGAGAGACTGATCGGATGTGATGGAAGTGTGAATACAACACAAAGAACTGGAACACTTAGTGTAATGAAAGACTGAGACTACACACTGAAGATGCCAACCCCAGTAAGGGAGAGGAACTCTCCTGAGTGTGGCTAGAAGCTTAAGGAACTAACACGGTAAGGAGAGGAAACTCTCCCTGAGTGTGGCTAGAAGCTTAAGGAAACCCAAACCCTAAA